ACTTTTTCCCTGTGCCATTCCACATTATTACAAATAACTTCATTTCTGGACATTTACGGTTTGATTTCTTTGTATGTATGGATCACTTGGGATGTTACCGACATCTGGTGAAAATTTCATGTCATTAGCACCTCTAGTAATATATTTACTGAGAAAAATGGTGACGTGTTCAATACTTATTTTATCCGTTGTATGTGCCCCCCTAAAGATCACCTTGGCCACCCCTGTGACTTATTGGAGGAACATGCGTCCTAACATGATTAAAAAGCTGAAGCATGCAAAGACAGGAAGTACTGTACTTTTTAACCTTTAAGGAAGAACTTAAATTCTCCAGGGCAGAAAATCACAGCACAATCACCTTCAGAGAGGAAAACATTCAAGCTTACAGGACCATTCCAGTTACAGATACTGCGTTAGTGTTTTTCATGAAAATGAACCTTTTCACATTTTAACTGAGTCCCTCGGCCCATGAGTGAAGTACTCACTTTGTGAACGCCTCCATGGTGTTTTCTATCCTCTCCCCGGATCCTAGAAACAAAGTCAGATTTGAGGGTAGCTGCAGGGGAGAGACGATGAAGAGTGGCCTACACACACAGTGGCTTCTCAAGAAACAAAACCCTGCATAAAATATTTCCACATTCATTATCTGGCAAAGAAACCAACCAACCTAAATTTAATTTCAAATCAATCAGAATGTCAGACCAACCCTCTGGAAGGATCATGCACTTGACATGAGGTCAGTATCATGTTTGGATTCAGAATTCAACATGACTTTTATCGTCTTGGATGTTGGTGCRTTTGAAACCTAATGCAGTCATGAAGGCTCACAAAGCAGACACTCRTTATAGCTCACCATTGGCTTGGACTGACCAACATTATTAGATCTGCCGCATCTGTTTGGACTCATCCCTCGGTCAGACTACGATGTCCCGACATGAAGCTGATTGGATGTTTTGYATCACCTAAACTGGACGTTGAACCCCTCCCACTGACGGAACCACCCTTACCTCCTCTGTGCGAGATGTGAGCGCAGTAGAACGCTGTGCGTTTCCTCTTGTGGAGAACGTGAGGGTTCTTCAGCAGGTACAGCGAAGTCAGAGCGTATCCCCCCAAGGCTGGGAGGGCAAAGTACAGGAAGCTGCTCATCCTTTCCCTGCAGACGTGTTCAGGGAGACTCTGAAGGATCTCGCAGGAGACGTCACCAGGTCTGAAAGCCTGTCAGGAGGTGCCTACGCCGCAGTTATCAGTACGTCTGTGTGTTGTTGAGGAAAGAAAACTGGATCGACTGGTTAAGAGTGAAGAAATGTGTCTAACCTTGTCTCACAAGCAGCAGTTTTGCTCCTCCTGATTCCAGGTAGACAGCAGAAATCAGAGCTGTAAACCCAAGTTAATGAAGCACCAGCTCATAACCTCATTCAGCTTTCCCTCTGGCCTCTCCCTCTYCCAGTGACGCTTCCCTCACTCATACCTGAGGCAGGCATGTTTGTGCGCTCCCTTGAGGTCCTGTCCTCCTGCTGAAACTGTAACCACATCTACTGGTAAACCATGATGGAAACAATCTCTCCAGATTATGTAAGGATTTTATGAATTTAGAGAAAAGGGGGAAAATTCAAATTCAGAGATATGAAAACAACTAAAAGTCAAAGTCAGCAGGGTGCAGCAGCACAATGTTCAGCTGCCCGGGCTGGAATGCGCCAAACAATGGCATGACAACTAGAGAGCGCTCTAATATGCTGCAACAAGGCCCAGCTAACACCAGAACAGAGGAGTCTATTCATCGGACGTTCCAGCACCGTCTCGTACAAAACACACACGGACGAGAGCTCACGGGTCTGGCTCGCCTGTATGTTTCAGATTTCCTGCCTTTGTCTCCGTTGATATGTTTCTAAAAACAACCGAGGTAAAAATCACAGAGTTGTRACTGAGGAATGTTTGAGGGGAGGAATCTGTYGCGCTGAGGCATGGAGAGTATGAGGATGGAAAAGCGGCCCAGCAGGACAAGCAGGTTGACTTTGGGAATGAGATTTGCGTTTGCACGTTGATAACTGCACCAGGAACCAGATCAATGTAGCCTCTAGCCTTTCAGTTCAAACTATGCAAGCTAAATTCACAGGTAGAACAAACAACACACCCCTCACAACAGAGAGTCATGGCAAAGGCAGTATAGCCCAATGGTAAGGGTGTCGTTCATCTAGGAGGCGTCACAGATGGGAGATGGAAAAAACATTGTAACTTCTTATCACAGCATTGTTGGTTTAGTCTGTAGAATAAGCACTGGTTACTCAGGTTTATGAAGTTAACTCATTCTCTGGGTTTCTCAGCTGTTTTGTTACTACATGAGGTGTTACATGGCGCAGAGGATGTTTCATGATAAATATCTTATGATGCAGTGCTGGTGCTCAGTTTGTAAATAGAAAAAAATACGGATAAAGGAAGTTTTAGCTATGATCTCAAATAAAGTTCAGGTTAAAGTCTGGTTTTCAGTGTCCTGTCTTTATAAAATACTGGTTTTATGTTTTATTAATCCCAAGAATTTATAAAAATGCTCCTAAAATAGCTGGAATATGCGTTCCCAGGGGAGTATACCTCTGGAACACCCCCTAGAACTGCTTCACTCCACAGATGCACGTTAACATGAACAYGTGTTTCTCATTGCCATCAGCAGATGTTGGCAGGCATGTTTCAAATGAATTATGTTAACTATTTTAATTGGACAACCTGGTTTCTAAAGCTAAAAAAAAGACAAAACTACTTTAGTTTGTGAATATTTGTAAATTGACAGGGAGATTTAGAAAACTGAACAAGGGACACCAAATTGTCTAGGGCCGGCCCTGTACATAAATTCTTCTTTCCAGAATATGAGCAGCACTGATGCCTCACAACAAAAAGGTCTGGGGGTGGAGGTCTTCCTGTGTGGAGTTTACATGTTCTCATGCATACATGTACTCTGGTTTTCTCCCACAAACCATAAACATGCAGGTTAGGCTGCCTTTAGGTCCGGGCCTTCATTGCAAAAAAGTAAGATTCGTCTGGTCAAGACAAATAAAATAAATCAACATTTTGCTCTTCAAGAGTGTCATCCTTGAGATGTCGGTGCATGACTGAGTCTCGTCTTAAAGAGCTACCTCTCTCGTGTCTCTTCTTGTCTGATCATTTGGTTTGACAGAATACTGTCATTTGAGAAAAATACTTCTGAGCTTTTGATACTCCAACATTTGAGATTGTGTTTTTGTGTTGGTTCTTTACCCTGTTTCGATCTTGCACATTTAGATTTTCTTGCTGACCTGACAAAGGCCCAGTTAGGAAGTACAAAAAGTTTGAAACTCCTTTTTGAAAAAAGTTCCTGTGGAACGATTACTTACATTTAAAACCCTCAATCTCTGCTATATAATGTATTCATTAAAAAAAAAAAATTCAGTGTTCTACAACATAAAAACTCAATTATTTAGGAAACCTTAAGTTATTAGACCTTTATTTGTCCTGAATGGGTGATGACCAGCCATGTTTAACTGTTAATCCAACAACAATAGATAAATTCATCTTCAGTCTTTATTGTTGACTTTAAGCATAAAGCTTAACAGGCCAAGACTTTTGCCGTTAAAAAAAGAAGAAAAAAAATGAAAAACTACCAAAAAAAGAGGCCAATACACAAATTTTACAGTAGGAGGAAAAGTTTTATTTAATCTTACATGTATATAATTCTGTTTTAGTTCACTGTTTAATTCATAATACCCATAGAATATACAGACGATAACCTTCAGTTAACTCATCTTAGACAATCCCAGTAAATCATTTTTAAAATAAACTTTTAAGATTCTGTAGGGGAAAAAAATGAAAGAAAACATAAGTTTCAGAAAAACCGAAACACTGCCAACACTAACAATGCTTGTAAGAGAAAAACAAATCAAACAAAACACTAAAAAAAAGCGCTCCCTTTTACATAAAAAACACAACGCTTCACCAATATAACGAGTATAGCAATAATAAGAACAGCCATTTAAAAACAGATCTGGAAACAGGCTGTCAGGCGTGTTGATACAGTGTGAATGTAGACGGTGTTGAAGTGCATCTCGTCACAAACACCTCGACACACTCCTCCGTAAAACACAGAGGAGGTGTGCGAGTGTGCGAGGAAGATTTGCAGAATGATGTCCTCTTAGTAATACGTTTGGTTTGGTGGAAAATAAAAGAAACTAAGAGGCCTGGTTGATGAGATGTTTTCTATAATATGTCCAGAATCTATCTTGTGTTGTGTCAGCACAGGAGCGACAAAACACACACTTTCAAAACAAAAACACACAGACACACACAGAAGCAACGCCTTGGCTTTATGGAGACGAAACAGTCTTACACTGACAGACAGTACAAGCAGGATATAGGACATAAGAGGGGCGGGGATTGGGAGGGTGGGGGCGTGGCTTCAAAGAAAAAGTGCAGACGTGCTGATTGAGTCATGTGATAGTGGAGCATGATCCAATCTGAGCTGAGGAAAAACGTTTTTTTGGAGCGTGGCGGCAAAAGTGAGCGAAACCAACTTTGAAAGGAGTGGATGAGAATGGAGGAGGAGGAGGATGAGGAGGAGGCAGGCAGCCCTTTGAGTAAAGTGTGGAGAGAGTTTGGAGGTTGAACAAAAAGCACGAACACCAGTCGAGCACCAAAAAAGCCTCGCATCAATTTCAGGCTGCTGGCTATGTCTTCAGAAAGAACCCTTGAGTGGTGCTCCGTCAAGCAGGTCCGATCAGAAACACAAAAACACAAACAGGGTAGAGCAGACACCAACGACGCACGGACAGAAACACGAGGAACGAGCACAGCTGTAGCGCCACACAACCCACGGTAAAGAATAAACACCCCCTGTTTAACAGGCAACCAGGACGACAGAGAGGAAGGAGCTGACTGTTACACAACGGCCGGCCCGACCGAGAAAACAGAGACTTCCCAGAACTGCTGCCTTAACGGATCGTTTCTGCAGCAGACATGTCGGCGTGCCTCAACATGACAAAATAACGATGAGTGAATTCCATTTAAATTAACATCAACAAGGATCCGGTTAAAGTCTCATCAGAATGAGTCAGAGGGTTACCTTTGTTTCTCTTAACTCTTTAAGGTGAATGATGATGGATTAAACATTGGACTTAAAATTAGATTTTTTTTTTTTTTTGTATCAGTGAGGACAAATAAAAAAAAAAGGAAATTTGGAAAATGGTGCAAAGCACCAAAAAGATTCAGGAAAAATGGGACTTTAATGTCAAAATTTAAATTCTCTGTTTATCTAATGTGCTCATGTGGGGTTCCCAGGATAAATGGGACTCTGTGTGTTTGCTCTTAAAAACACATTTAAAACGTGATTTTTTTTTTAAATCTACATCTCCCCAGCCAAGGTCCTTCCACCTCTCTGCCACTTTGGTAAATTCTTGAGGAATGCATGCTTTATATAAACATAACCTTTTTTTGTTTTTCTTCCTGAAAAAAAAAAAAAAAACTAAAAGAGCAACAATAAGGAAACCCTGCCAACATGCCACTAAAAACATTAAATGTTTCAAAATCAAATGCTCAAAAACAAATAACTTGACTCTGAACTCAAAAATACCTGTACGAACAAAAACGGCCACAACCACGATAAAAAAAAGCCTTTAAATTTTTCATATGTACATGCACGCACCCTGTTAGCATCCCTGTTCTGTTAGCCCTCGAGGATTTTTGTTCCTTGTACAAGAAAGAAAGAAAGTAGTATTTCACATGGAATCAGCGAGTTAAGGAGTTGGTTAATACAGTCGTTTGGACAGAAACGACAGAAGCGCTCAGACGCATCAGCAACATAACAGAGGGTCTGATGAGGAGGAGGTGAGTTAAAGACGATAAAGAGGGGCAATAAATAAAGCTTAAAATAAACTGAAAAGTGAGGTGAGTCCAGCAAGGACTAAATGGAGTTCAGACTACACAGGCCCACTCAGCCACAAAACAAAATATTCAAATTTATACTTAACTACTGCAGTAGGAATGCAAAGAGAAGCAGTTAAATGTTCATATTTACGGTTTTTGACATTTTGTTGGTTTCTCAAAGATGCAATTTGTTTAAGCGTGTCAATCAGTCTTCTTGTTCCGAGACTTCGGGTGGAGGCGTATCGCTGAGGACATGAAAAGAAAAAAAATGATTTTCTCAAAATAAAAACGAAGAAAGTAACCTAAAATCCTGTGCTTAAAAATACAAAAGCAGTTTAAAGTGCCTGACATGCATTCCATAAATACAAAGAGTGGACAAAAACAATATTTAAGAAATTTGGTGCATTACAAACAATTTTACTCGTTTTGTCAATAATTGTTTTTAACAAGGCGATACCAAAGAGAAACAGGAAGTGACTACACAATTTAAAAAAGGACTCCCTGGTCTTTGTTCAAACGAACTCTGACTCTTCTTCTTCATCTCTCAGATGGCGACTTAAAATAGTTTAAAGAGACACCAGATTCTTTGCCATTATCTGTACTGTAAACCAACAATGCTCTGTTTGCATGCAGGCGTTCCTCTTTGTCATCACTTCCTGGTACTGTGGTTTCTCCAGAGAATAACGCCAGTTTCACATTCAAATAAACAAGTAAACTGAAAAAAAACTTGGCCAAAAATAAAGCTACCCAACTAAAATGTATTTACCATGTTTAAAACTACCCATATTATTAAAAAAAGAGCATTTAGATCCTTGAATTGTTGCAAAATTATCTTGTTTTATGAACCTAAAATCACAGGTAGAAACTCAACAAACGGAACTCTCCTGCTCCGATTCAGCTCAGGGACTTATTTGTTTATAAAATTAGAATTTCAGAGAGTTTAGCCTTAAATAAGAGTACATTTTGGACACCTTTGACAAGGTAAGATCATTAAGATTAGTCAATATTGGCAATTTAAGAAAGTAAAATTGGGTGGTTCAGACTGGTTACTTTCCACAATGTTAGCACCCTGAATTAGAAGAAACCAGCTTAAATAAATAAATAAATAAATAAATAAATAAATAAATAAATAAATAAATAAATAAATAAATAAATAAATAGCATGGCAAAGGAAGCTTCACACAGGCGATCTTCAAAGTTAGAAAATATTCAGCTTTGGGATGATTTCTTATCAAAACCACTTCGCACCAAACATGCACAATCAAAACAAGCTAACAAAAGCTGGGACAGACAGACAACACAGCTTGAGAAATAGTCATGCAACTTGAGAAGAGAATACCTTATTTTCGGAGAAGCTCACATCAACTTTTCTGGAAAGCAAAATTTGAAAAAATAAAAAAGTTAATCCCTGTTGGGTGAAGTTAGGTCATTTCCAGATCAAGTCTTGCTCAACAGAGAACCTCTGCAGCATGTTGGGTTTATCTGAGAAGCAGCTTGATCCTCTGCAGTGTTCTGACAACCCCTGACTCCGCTCAGCGTGTTGCTGTGATCAGACCAACACTGGTCTTAAATAACACCTCTTGGTCCTTGGGGGCCACAGCCCTGCATGTTTTACTGGTTCCTCTGCTCCAACACACCTGCTTTGAATGAATGTGGGATTAACAGGATTCTGCAGAACTTAAACGGTCACTGAATCAGGGGCGTTGCAACGGGGAAACAGGTAAAACATGCAGGACTGCGGTGCTCCAGGACTAGGACTGGATGCCCCTGCTCGAACCCCACAAACGTAGCACTGCGGCACATCGTCAGTTTATTTCCAAATAGATGACTAAAAATGAACAAGAAAGTAAACAATCCACCGTACTTATGAATGCATACTGTGACCCCTCCCCCATTCTTTGAACTTAAAAAGCTTTTAAAAAATTATCTACTCCTTGTGTATACTGCTACACCTAATTTCATATATTTTGGAGATGCAGCCTTGTGGACACATCTGTGGCTGTGGAGGAGCAGCACGCTCAGAGTTGTAAAGAAACTAAGTACAAATACTTAGTTACTGTACTTAAGTAGAAATTTTGGTTATCTGTACTTGAGTAATTATTTTTCAATGTACTTTTTACTTTTACTCATTACATTTTTACACAATTATCTGTACTTTCTACTCCTTACATTTATTTAAAAAAGGGTAAGAAGTAGAAAGTCATTACTCCTATTTTATTCTGAGTTGTTATTACTTAGAAAAAAATACTATCCTGATCAATTGTCTCCTGGATAGAGTGAATTTAATTGTGGTTGGATGAGAAGTATAAATATATACCATTCTGACACTGTATTACAACGTTCACAACCCATCACAGCTGGGGGACACGTCACTTTATTTTGTTAATGATCACCTGCAATACCAGCATAATCCATATACCTCAATATACAAATGTGCAATATTTAAACAATGTGTAATAATGGCTGTGTCAAAAACGGCAGGACGGGTCCTCCAAAGGCCGAATTCGTCGGCCGCATACGTCACAGCGCCGTGACGAAGGCCGTCCAAAACCGAAGACTCCTCTGATGCGGCCAACAAACATGTCCTTCCTTTTCCCCGATTTGAAGGACAGGTCTGATGGATCCTTCCCAGCCCAGCGTATCTCATAATGCTTTGCGGCCCGACCGGAGATTTTTTTTTAAGCTAGTAATGGCGG